CTCTCTCTCTCTCTCTCTCTCTCTCTCTCTCTCTCTCTCTCTCTCTCTCTCACTCTCTCTCTCTTACTTTATCTTGAAGGTCAGTGACTCTGTAGACAAGGAAGAAGAATAATGGACCAATGACTTGGCTAGACTTTTATTTTTCTTCTTATTTTTATTTTTTATTTTCCGTTTGGGGTGGTGTTTTCTTTATTTAAAAAAATACTATATCGAGGATTTATCTTTGACAGCCAGTTACGTTTTTCACTGCATGCTTAAAGTCGGAGATTTGGGTCCATTTCTGTCTCGTCCTTTCCAGGGTATCAGAAAGGTATACGGGAATCCTGGCCAACAACATAAGAGTAAAAACTTTAAAGTAACGTGTTATTTAAAAAGGTTTTTATGGAGTAAAGTCACAGTTTGGGTAACTTACTGATGTTTTATCTTAATTTTTTGCCTCCAAAGGTTGAATGTTTTTCAAGAGGAGGGTAGGACTCGTCCCATTAAGATAATAGCATGTGTTACAATACGGTGGATTCAGGCGCTTGTCAATTTTTGAGCATATGAGATTATTGGTATCATTTTAGAGCTTGTTCATTGACTTGATTTTGGCAGAACACCCCCCCCCCACCCCTTTTTCCACTAATCCTGAACAGAAGTCGAGATGTTAGCTACTGAAGGAGGTGGAGGTCGCCTGGTGTCAGAAGTAAAATCAGCGAGAAAATGTCCGCCAAAGTTCCACGACTTCCAAAGCTTGAGTGTTCTCTAAAACTGCAAATTTAAAATTTTTGTGTGCCTTTGGTTAAAGATTTTCAGTAAAATCCACACAGAAATCTGTTTCTAAAAGAGCATAAAAGCTGTTGAGCAGGGGAAAATAACATTATGGTAATTGTCCAACCAGTGGGAAAATGCAGTCTTTTTGGTTGTATTGATTCTTGACGAGTGCTTGATTTCTCCATAATGCTTCACGTATTCTGATAAACCTTTATCTCAGACAAACCAAACATAACGACGAAGACCTTGAAATGGGTAATCGTAGTTGTTTTACGTAACCTTCAGAGCAAGTTATATCATTTACGAGGCAGGCTTCCTACTTCCTACTACCCTGCCTGTCAGGGCAAACCCAGGCTGAGAGGTATACAACATCGGAGTAGAAAGACCGAGATACTCTGTATGTCAGGGACGCGACTTACTGAATGGAGTAGTGCTGGGCGGCTAGGTTCCTGATAATTGAAAGCTCGAAATCATAGGAATCGACTCCGAACCCAATTACTTACTTTCTTACGATGTGATTTCTTCCGGTTGTTACTTGGTTGGCTCCGAACATCAGGATTTAGGATAACCTTGATTTTTGGGACACTGCGAAGCAACAACTTTTATTTTTCAAAAAAAAAATTATTTGAAAGAAAAGATTCTGGTAACCGTTGGTTTTCGTAAAAAGCAGTCGCAACTTTTCTTCCGTAGCATTAATCGTGGGGATCAGTTCCGGAATCGACTCTTCGCCCAGCTCTAGAATGGAGTACAAAGTCTCGTAGGGAGGCCCTGCTCAGTACCACGTTTTGAGATAATGGAAGCAAACAATTTTGAGTTTCACAAAGCTTATTTGAATACAATTCTTTGAATATCTTGGTAGCGACTCCGAATATTCTTTCACTTTTGATAGAGCAGGCAGAGCCTTTGCTCCCTGACCTCATGATCTAAGTACCAAAAATGTCGGATTGAACTTTGTAATTCTGAGGTAAAGAGATGGAAATTAATTGATTTTTTTTAAAACATGCACGTGCATCGACCTCACGTTTCCTGCGGAGGATGTTGACCGCTACACCACAGACGCCGATGCACACTCTCTGCATTTATTTGTTCATATAGAATGCTTCAGAGCAACCTACTAAAGAGCACCTTTCTTGATCCCCGTCGAGATATCAGTTGCCCTTGCCCACAGACGTGCAAGATAGTCAATGAATGTTTATGACATCACAAACTAAAACAAAATGTGAGGCAGCGTGGTGCAATCAGGCTCTCATCAATTTTTGGGCATGTAGAGTTATTGGTATCATCTTAAAGCTTGTTCACCTGTCTTTATTTGGATGAAAAAAAATATCCATTTAACTTGAATACAAGTCAAAATATTTGCGAATGAAGGAGGTGGGGGGGCGCCTGTTTTCAGAGGTAAAATTTATGAGAAAATGGCCGCCAAAGATTAGTTATTTCCTTAGCTTAAGAGTCCGTGGTAACTAAAAACTTTCATTTTTTGTGCCTTTAATCAACGTTTTTCAGAAAAATCCAAACAGAAATGAGTTCTTAAAAGGACATGAAAGGTGTTGAGCCAAAAAACAAAAAAAATTAAAAAATTACTCAAACCTGCGGAAAAATGCAAGTTTCTTCACTTTGATTATTTTGACGAGAGCCTGATTCCACCTGGCTGCCTCACATATGACATTGCATGCCAATCTGGGCGACATTGCCCACTTGTGGACGATTTGATCATGTTGGTGGGCCAGGAGGACCACTCGGGTGATGACTTGTGTCATTTGAGGCCTTGCTTGGAAATACACTGTCGCCATGACCATCATTCTTCATTGTCGACGTCTATGTCGCATCAAAATACAATGGTTTTAGGAGAAGCTAAAAACGGTTTTTATTTCAGTTCAGTTCAGGAAGTACGATATTATCTTAACACAACATACGTAATTTGTCTAGACCCGTTACCATTTTAAGAACAGTAATATGAGTAGGACTAATCGGTGGACTAATCATCAAACTCTACCCATGGCTGAGTGCAACAAGTGACTATACCCAGTTTTGGTCGAAATGTAGTAAAAAAAAATATGCGTAGTGAGATTTTAAGCTGCTCTTTTACCTCTGTAAATATCTACCTCAAAGCTTAGTCAAAGAGTCTGCATAACAAGAGGGGCTACTTCCCTCTTTGAGCCAATTAAAAAAAGTGTCCTCAAAATTCGGTGGCACCCTCTTCGCAAAAGCGCACCTTTTGCAAACAGAGTTACCCTAGCTGAGTTTAAAAAATCAAAGTCGATCTAGCAAGTTTTTTAATACAATTCGGAAGAACGCTTTTTTAAAATGGTTACGCTGACAAAACACCTCTTCCGGAGGAAAGGGCGATTGTTTTCTTCGTTTAATTTGACTTAAGAATGAAATGCTAGAGGTCATTAAAAAAATTTTAAACTTCAAACTCCACACCGAACGAACCCGAACTGCTGATGAACAGCAGTCGATCTGTGCACGCAAGGAGGTGCTATTCCTATTCTTCTTCTGGAAAAACAAAAGAGAGCTTCAAAACAGACTGCAGCGCTATATGAAGCAAAGAGCGAACATCCGGCGGACACGTTTTTGGCTGAGTGGCCCATCTTGTTATGTACTATCTTTGGCTTAGTTCAGTATCGAGATATCAACGTTTCTTTTGGTACTCTATTATAAAGATTTCAATCTCGTAAAAAGTTCAACTCGTTTCTCTTGAAACTGGGAAAAGTGGATACTTGTGCTCAGAGGTCAGTACTTGGTTTCCATCTATTGTTTCTCGAAAATTTGACAATCTACGTTGTTTAATGACGTCGGCGACTTGTAGGTTGGCATTAGGAATGTAGCAGCCTCTTCCATGTGGTAAAAGAGGGCGCTGCCTGTGTAGACATTAGCGTTGGCCTTCGTGGGGCAGCGCACCGTTGTTGTTGGGGGGGGTTTTCAGCTTGAGGTTGAGCTCACAGACTACTCAGCAGCAAGAGCCATGAGTGAAGAGACAACTAATTGTTTCGTTTTATGGAGGTTCTTTTATTTCGTTTTGTTGTAGTAAAAAAAAAACATTTACTGAGAAAAAAACGTTGGTAGTAATAAAGCTCTACATAACATAATATGCGTGTTTCTCCTACCAATTTAAAAAAGTGTTGGACAAAAAAAAAAGTCAATTTAAAAAATCAGTTAAAACAATTATAGTAAATTTGGTAATGAGCAAAATCGCATAACGTGCATTCTCTGAAAAGAACATATATACAAATTTCTGTAATGGTGGGGTTTATTTTTTCAAATTGGGGCTTTACTTCTTCCCTACGGGAACAACAGCACAGTTGATGTTCTGCTTGTCATCACACACCAAAAGGTTCCTGTCGAAGGAGAGGCCGGTCGGGCACGGCATGTGGTTGGTTCTGCCGAACGTGCACTCCACGTAGGACACACAGCTGTAGGGGTCCGGGTGGATGCCGTTAGCCAGGTTGTTGACGGAGCAGTAGTTGTCGAAATCTGGAGGGGGGGGGGGGGAAAGAGGAACAGTTTTCTATTAATAGGAAGAGAGAGAGAGAGAGAAAGAGGGAGACAGAGAGACAGAGACGGAGAGACAGAGAGACAGAGAGACAGAGAGACAGAGAGACAGAGAGACAGAGATGCAGAGAAAGAGAGAGACAGACAGACAGACAGACAGACAGACAGACAGACAGACAGACAGACAGACAGACAGACAGACAGACAGACAGACAGAGACAGAGACAAAGAGAGAGAGAGAGAGAGAGAGAGAGAGAGGGGGGGGAGGGGAAGATAAGGGGGGGGGGTTCAAATAGGTTATGGGTGAGCCAATAGTTGTCGAAATCTGGGGAGGGGGGAAAGAGAGGAACAGTTTTCAATTAATTAATAGATTATGGGCGAGCCAATAGTTGTCGAAATCTGGAGGAGAAAGAGAAGATCAATTTCTCAAATACTCGGCGGAGTGTCCAAATTTTTAAATATCTTTAGTTTGATGTGCCATGACAGCCATTCATTTGTCGAGGAGAAAAGCAGTCTTAGACAGCGTCCTTTGAATGCAGAAAAAATTGCAAGCAGGGGAGAGGGAAGAAGTTGTTTGTTCAGATGATTGTCTTGGGCAGGTAATTACCATAATGCGATAACGTGCAAGAACAGAAACATTGAAAGTAGTTATAAACTGACAATGGTAGCCGTATGCGCTTAGCATAGTTTAAGGGCTGGTGGGGCACCTAGAAATCTTGTTTTGGGGCCAATTTAATAACATATTATAGTACCTGGACACTTCCTCAACAATATCCAGAAACGTATGTAAGCTTTGCTACACCCTAAAGCTGTCTTTTTTGTCCAAGTGTTTCTGCAAAAGCAGATGTTTTCCAGTCAGTTCTTACCTTTATCGGCTGTTTTCTCACAATTCTATTTTTTCACACATTATCCCATTTTTCTGCCCTGTTTCTTGTTCAATTTCAATGTAATTTTAACAGCATGCCAACAACACCTAGTTCTAAATTTTGGCTTCTTGAATTTTTGATTAATTTAGTAGTTTTTGATTTATGGGCTTAGAAAGCACGAATTTTCCATTTTTTTCACTTTTTTTGCAACAACCCAATTGTAAGTGTCATAAAATAAAAACTAAAGCATATCTAAAATACTAAAAGCATACTAAAATCCAACAGGCCAAATTTAAGACCTATATGTTTACTGTTGGCATGCTAAATTAGAAGTTAATCGATTAATAAATAAGGGACTAAAATGGGATTGAAAAAGGTATACAAAATCCAATGTGGCTGCCGTTTCCATAGCAACCGATTCAAAATATGCTTTTTGAAATATAGATTTCAAATCCCCAATAGCACACAATGTCCCACAGCATATATGGACACTCTAAGCCTTGTAATAGCCAAAATAGACCCCAGGTGCCCCACCAGTCCTTAACGTTATTAGTCCTCTAGAGGAGCAAACTGGTAATTTGCAACAAACATACTTGACTAACAATAAACGGAAAAAAATTCAGTAGGGTGTTGTTGGTTCGCGAAGCGTATGATGAGACTGGACACGGGACTGTGTTGTTGGTTCGCGAAGCGTATGATGAGACTGGACACGGGACTGTGTTGTTGGTTCGCGAAGCGTATGATGAGACTGGACACGGGACGGTGTTGTTGGTTCGCGAAGCGTATGATGAGACTGGACACGGGACTGTGTTGTTGGTTCGCGAAGCGTGTGATGAGACTGGACACGGGACTGTGAACTTGGAACAAGTAGGCAATAACATGCATACAATAAAAAAGGCACATATTTGTTTGCGATGTTTGTGTGGTGGTTCAAACTCTGACGAACATTGCCTTTGATCAACATGTGATCTGACGCATTATGTGTCCTCTACGCCCTTATTAATAAGTAGTTACCCTGAGTAACCTACTTTGGAAACCTAAAGAAATGGGTAAGTAAGAAAGATCAGGAAACGTAGATTTTTTTATTAAGAGCATCCGAGCAAAGGAATAAATGGAGAACCATGATCGCCGATGTCTGTTGCAGATCTGGCACTGGTCGATGACCCACTTACTGGAAGGATAAGCTATCGGGAGGGTGGGCGGCTGGAAGATGTACTGGAGGCAGGTGTTGGTCGTGGAGCAGGTCTTGAGTGCCGGGTTGTAGAAGAGACCGTTCTGGCAGCCCATGACAGTGGTGGCACCATTGCTGCACTCCACGTACTGTGTGCAGTCGTACGGCTGGTAGTAGTTTCCGTTCGCCCAGCTGAACTGGCGGCAGATGTTGGAGACCACTGTTGGAACAGACAAAAGAAAAAAAAAGCAAACTTTTATTTAAATTCTTTTCTTAATGTAGGTGATTTTACCCTGCCATCGACACAATTTCAACATTTAAGATGGTTTTCTTGAATCCCACTGTTGGAAAAACAACAACAACAACGTTTAATAATAATAATAATAATGATAGATACCATTTGTATAGCGCAAATCCCCGCTCAACAGCAAACTCTATGCGTTTCACAATCTATACTTTTACCCCAGCAGACCTGAGAGCATTCTAAAACAACCTCAACTTCCTGGGAAGCATACTACAGTGTACGGGGCCAATTATAGGCGCTAAAACACTAACATACTGACAAGATCTTTCGCTGTCTATGGCCGGGTACCCAATCCCACCTGGGAGGAGAATTTGTGTAAAGTGCCTTTCCCAAGGACACAATGTCGTGCCCGCGGCTCGAACTCCCGAACCAACGACCTCACGATTACGAGTCCGGTAGCCTAACCACTAGGCCACCGACGCCATTTAAATTCATCTCTTAATGTAGTTTTTTATTTTATTTAAACCCCACTATCTACCCACTGCCATCGACACAATTTTAATCATTTAGGAAGCGGGCTTCCGACGCTGCCTGTCAGGACCAACCCGTGCTGGGAAGGATACAGAACGCTATCAGAAAGATGGATATACCGATAAAAAGTAAAGTTGCTCCCGCATCCGATCTGGACATTGGGGATTGCCTTGTTAGTGAGAAAACAACTTTCTGGGCCTCGGGCATATTGCGGTAGGATGGCCAGTACCTTTCCACTCCGGCTTTACTTCCTCAACTCGAAGTTAGGTACCCATTACTACTGGCTGTGTATGAGGGGGCTAAAAAGTCCGGGTCCGAAACGATATGCCGGCACTTGTTGAAAATTCTCTCCACTCCGAATACAACTCAGACCATTATGGAGACAGGCTGCTTGCTTCTGTGTCAACCAGACTCAACAAGTCTCAGCTGAGTGAGTGAGTGAGCATCTCTGTAGAGGGATGGATGGAGAGACAGACGAACCTGTCCAAGACAACCACGTATAGATAGATAGATATATAGATAGATAGATAGATAGATAGATAGATAGATAGATAGATAGAAAGATAGATAGATGTGTAGATATGTAGATAGGTAGATAGGTAGATAGATAGGTAGATAGATAGATAGATCGATAGATAGATAGATAGATAGATAGATAGATAGATAGATAGATAGATAGATAGATAAAATATAGGTAAATAGGGAGAGAAAGAGAGAGGGAGAGAGAGAGAGAGAGAGAGAGAGAATTATTGTTTTACTCCGTAATGAAACAAATAAAGTATAGCTGAATCTCACCAATAGCAGCCACTCTAGGTCCGTATTTGCAGATTGGTACAGTGGCAGTACTGTCACTGAGTTTTGTGGTGGGGTTGTAGATTGTGGGCACTCTATCCACCTATGTACATATTATCTCACTCACTCTCTCTCTCTCTCTCTCTCTCTCTCTCTCTCTCTCTCTCTCTCTCTCTCGCACGCTTTTCATCTTTTCTCAGTCTCCCCTTCTCTCCCCTCTCCATTTTTTTTCGTTCTATAAAGTATAGCTGAATCTCACCAATAGTGGCCACACTAGGTCCGTAGTTGCAGATTGGTACATTAGCGGTACTGTCGCAGAGTTTGGTGACGGGGTTGTAGACTGTAGTCACTGGGCAGTCCAGCTCCATCGTGACGCCATTGCTGCACTCGATGAACTGTCGGCAGTTGGTCGGGTGGGGGTACCTGCCGGCCGGCCATCCGTACTGCTTACACAGGTTCAGCACCCCTGGGGGTACGTTAGAGGTTGAGATCAGATGGGATGAGATCGGAGGGGATGAGATGAGGTAGAGTGGGATGAGAAGGGATGGGATGGGATGAGGTGGGATGAGATCGGAGGGGATGAGATGAGGTAGGGTGGGATGAGAAGGGATGGGATGGGATGGGATGAGATGAGATGGGATGAGATGAGATAAAATATGATTCGATTTTATTGATGTCTACAAAGATAAACTTGCTGTGGCATAGTAAACACTTGCACACACAGGCTCACACGTTCACATCAACACGCTCTCTGTCTCTCTCTCTCCCTCTCTCTGTCTCTCTCTCTCTGTCTCTCTCTCTCCCTCTCTCTCTCTCTCTCTCTCTCTCTCTCTCTCTCTCTCTCTCTCTCCCTCTCTCTCTCTCTCTCCTTTTTAAAAAAAATATCTCTGTCTGTCTCTCTGTGTCTCTCTGTGTCTCTCTGTGTCTGTCTCTCTGTGTCTCTCTGTGTCTCTCTGTGTCTCTCTCTGTGTCTCTCTGTGTCTCTCTCTGTGTCTCTCTGTGTCCCTCTCTATCTCTCTTTCTCTCACATACACACACATACACACACGTAAACACCGCTCCCCCCCCCAACCCACACACACACACACACACACACACACACACACACACACACACACGCACGCACGCACGCATGTACAAACACACACACACAAACACACACACACACACACACACACTCACACTCATTTACATGTAGAGGCGTATACACACACACACACACACACGCACGCACGCACGTATGTACAAACACACACACACACACACACACACACACACACACACACACACACACACACACACACACACACACAGTCGTTGGTTGGACATAAAATGTATTATGTTTATAGTATTGAACAAAACAGCATCAATTCAACTTTATGGACTTGGTTGAAATAAAAGGATTGGCTGCATTTCTACACAAAATATATCGCAATGAGATGGAATCAGGTGAATGTCAGTTTCTGGACTTAATTCTATGGTATTATTGATGCAGACTTGAGTGTTGTTTATTTGTCTTGCTTTACTTGAAAACATATCAATCTATCTTTAATAGACATCGAGATACTTTCGATTGAAGTGGTGGGGGTTGCCTGGTGTCAGAGGTAAAATGAGTGAGGAAAAGGATAACTTTCAAAGCCGGACTGCCCTAGGAAACTGCACCTTTAATTTTTCTTGCCTTAAATCAGGTTTTCTCTTCATAAAGTAATATCCACACAGAAATGTGTTTTTGAATTGACAGAAAAGATAAAGAGATAACCCCCAGGAAGATGTACT